TAAAATTCAGGGGGTTTATGTCATTCCTACAAACTCAAGAGGATTTTTTGCAATTTATCCTAAAAAAGAAACAAAAAGTACTGCACGCACTGAAGCATGTGCTGAAAATAAATGAAGTTGGGGAGAACATATGAACTTACGTTATCCCTTCCCAACGCTGCATAATGCTGCAAACCGTTGCATGAACCATCCTAAAAGGAATAAAACCTCCAATAAGCATCATAATTAAGGCTTTCTCAGAAGTACATTATAAAGCTATTTAAGTCAGTAGTATTCAACAAGGGCATTAAGAAAAATAAACACATAGACCTACAGCTCTTACACTATCCAAGACTCCTTTGTTAATAGATAGTTAATAAGGATATAGAAAGCACAAAATAGACGAGTCTCCCTAAATATTGACAAAGATGGTATAAGCTCTAGTTTGTGTGTTACTTTCCTGTGTTAGCTTGGTTCTAGCCGACGAGCTGCATTACATTCATCAACCTTATACCTAGGCTAGCATTATGTTGAATGATACAGCCAATATATCTATATCTATATTGCTCTGAAAGTAAATCCAGATGAATCATAATTGTTCTTCAATCGAACAACTCTAGCTCAAAAATATTATCAAGAACTGCAAATCACATGAGATACCTGATGGATGGGCAGGTGTGAGATGACACTATGCGGCCATGGGCTTCTTAGGGCATCAGAAAGGTTAATACATGCAGCTAAGCACTGGAAAGGATCTTCAGCATCTATCCACCAGCGTTCACCATCAAGAGGATTATCAGCTGAATCAAAAATATCTCGTAAATGATTCTCCACGAAAGCCAACCTTCCATCATAAGAAAGTTTTTCAACACCACAACCATAGATGTTTGCCAAGTGTATCTTCAACCAGCGCAATCCAGACTTTCCCAATGGCCTTCCCTCAGCAAACTCAAGAATTCCTCTGCATACATCTGAACTTAAATGGTTTAAGTGTGAGTGCATAGGATAGGCACGGCCACGAAAGTCTAAGTTATGAGGATAATAAAACCCTTCCTCATCTTTTATTTTTCTTGCAACCTGTCACCAAATGACGGCCATGAAAACTCATAAGAGGAACAAAAGTTAACACTTCAAAGTAAGAACTGCAAAGGTCTTGTGTCACTAGAAAAGAAAAACTCTTACAGAGAGTTTAAGCTCGATATCACATCGTTGAGCATGCATTTCACTGTTAGCCTTTTTTGCTTTTCTACTGTTCCAACGCCATTCTTTAATCTTAGTTAAATCCTCTGACGACGGTCTCTCTGGTAAAGGAATCTACAAGATATTACAGAATAACATCAATAAAAACAAAAGCTTTAAAAGAAATAGAAAATGAACATAAAGTAAAATACATGCTGTGCAAGAAAGAATACGATAAATTAGATGTACGAGCCATATCATAGGATTGACTTTAGGGGTCAAGTCGCTATATATTATATTAGGAAAGTATTCCATGCACTTCTCTCTGAACTGCCCCATAAACTATAAGGAAATAAGCATTTGCTGAAACACAGCCCCCAGAGCCTAATCTCACATATATAGCAAACCTAAATCATTTGATCACAAAATAAAATCCTCCACTTAATAAATAAACATGGGGCTTTACTCACATCTTCACGATCTATCAGACCTGCAACATTTCCTCCTCTACTCCACATGCTTTCTAAAACAACAAGAACTCTTCTATTCACCCTCCATTTGGTACTTCCAAGGGTATCCAGTGCCTGGGGAAAAAACAATGACATAAGTCCACCATAACATTAGTTATCCATGATCAATAGTTCATCAGAAAGTGGGTTCTACTCTGTAGAGCGCGGGGGGTGGGGGGGGGTGAAAGATGTTATCGTGGCAAAATAACCAGAAGTAAAGGATGACCAACCTCAATATTTCAACCTCGAAATTATGAGGATAGGAGACCAACTCAACAATAAAATGGAAAGAACAGAGCCATTGGGGAAAATCATATATGGTGAGATGAACACAACTGCATCTTTATCCAAAAGTGTTTAAAAAAACCACAATAATTCTAAGTAGGTTTCCCATCTATAATAAAATGAAGAAGGAGAAGATTGTGTTGGAAGGAAGCAAATGCTATGACACTCCAAATTCAATGTAACAATAAACTTTGTTTTAGCGAGAGAGGGAGAAGTCGAGAATCTTCTTTTTGACAATGACCGTCCCACTCCAGTTATCATATAATGCTATACATGTAGCATTCAGTCCATTCCTTGTAATGTGAAAAACATAATGATAAAATAATCAGGTTATCATGAAATAATTGAGACAACTAGTACATGTAATATTTTATAACTTCAATACCAAGTCTTTTAACTTCCATCCAGGACCTTAAAAACTACAACTATAACAACAATAAAGTTTTTATCCCAAATTTTTGGGCTCAACCAATACAAACTAAAACGTTCTAGTTTAAGTCCAACCAAATATTTCTTTGTTTGTACATGAAATTTTATATTACATTTTATAAAATGTGAAAATAAAAAGCACAGGGAGGCTTTGCAATTATGAATTTAGAGGTGGTTAGTGCTTGGTCTCTCAATGTTCTGATAAGGTATGGATATTTAATAGATTATTATTGTATCGTGCAACAGATATTTCTTGTGAACTTTTCTTTGTTTAAGAAATCTGGAAAAGTTATACATGAACCATCAGTGATATGGTCACTTAGGAAGTTCCAAGTTTTTCTGGGGAAAAAAAAACACACGCGCACGCGTCTGCAACATAAGCTTTGGAAAAGGATGGCGGTCTGAAATGCTGATGTAACAAAAACAGGTATCAGTGAAGCTACTAAAATAATGGGGCAGTACAAACCTCAAATACTCTCTTCAACTGCTTCTTGGGAACCCTCCGAATTGCATTTTGTTGTTCCTTTGATCCATGTGTGCGCATGACATATGAAGGCAGGAACAGATGTCCACCCTCGTTATACCTTGACAAGAAATGGCAAAAATATGATTTAAGGAGCAGAAGTAAAATTAGGATGCATAGATTTACAGTACATTTAACCACAATAAGCCAAGAAATAATTAGGAGTAATAAAAAATCGTAACACATTCTTTATGCATATAGATAAATTCAGTGATGAAGTCCAAAATAAATGTAGCAAGTCCGTGATATCGAACGAGTAGTAGTCCAAACATATAAGTGTTCCTGATTACAATGTCTCGTTTTTCTCTGAAATCATACCCCTTCCACTTTTTTGGTGGTATCAACATTGGTAGATAAGGAATCACCATATGCCTAGCCTGCATGGCAGAGAGTAAACGGCATGCAAGATTCAGATGCCAAAACCAGAAGACAAATTCTTAACATAAACGATAACAACCCAAATGATAACAGAAACACTACATAAGAAAACCTTAGGCACATCTTTTCTTCCAATCAATCTATCCATCAAGCATGGAGAAAAAGAGATTCGTATATTGTCAAATCTTAAACTGAATATCATTACTATGCGTCACGTTAAAGGTAGAATAATAATATGTTTGGCAGTTGTTAACAAAAAATGACACTTAAATTTATAACACTTAAAACAATATATGATGACAAACTGAGTATACAATTCATCATACTTCAAATATGTTGAATTAAAATGATTGTAGCAAGCAAACCAGAAACAGATTCCTCCATAACAGAATAAATCAACTGGGACAGCAGGTCATAACTTACAGTGCTATTGAGACCTTGATGAACCAACCGATCGCACTCTATCACTCCAAATCTATTTTTTAATTTCCTGCAGGAGGAAATATGAACCAATCATAATTCAGGTACCTCAAATTTACCAACTGACTACAACAGAACTGAAAGGAAAGAAGTACAACTGCACCTGCTATCCTTCGCCACGGTTTTAAATGTATGCTTAAAAGCAGGTCGAATTTCCGGTGGACTGCATGCTGACTGATCAACTGGTGGTTGCACAAATGCTGAGTCAATCAATAGTTCTATAAGACGACTCCCTAACTGCATACATGAGCTACAGTTTTAGCATATGAAAACTGAATGAAAAATGTGAAATTTGAGATTAAACAACAACCTTGGCTTGTGCATCTCGACCCCAAGGTTCTGTGCCATTCTCATTTTTTAATAGCTTCTCGACCTTAATCAGCCTTTTCATTTTCACTGCCTTGACCACACGTTTTCGTTTGATTTCCTGCTCGATTTCCTGCTCTCTGGTTAAAACTGCATTTTCATCCACTTGCTTATTTCTTCGAGATTTCTTGGTCTTCTCAAGAAAACTATGTATCTTAACCTACAGTTCATGGGGAAAACAACTTAGAATCAAAGGAATACAAAGAAGGAAACTTATTTATGATAGTCCATATAGGAACGAGCATGAGAAAATGCAATAGATCATCTCTTTAGAAAAAAAGTTATTATAACGTCGTGTTTAAGTTAAGGTATTACGCCTATGTGATTGATGGAGTGCCTGGATGCATATGTTTTTATTTCCTTCAAATATATGTGTAGCAGATACAAGTGGGGGAAAAAACTATACTGCATTCACATTGATCAGAAGTATATAGCGCAGCCAGTGTTACAATGCATCCTAATATATACACCTGAAGCCATATTCCATAAATCAGGATTATTGTAAGACTCCAAGCCGTAAAAATATGAGACATACATACACTTTTAGCAAACAACGAAATGTCATAAGACCATACACTAGCAAAATTGACCACATCAATAGACAGATAATATTATAAACTAATTCATAAGAAATCAACTGCATTGCAAGTACAGTAAGATTAAATGCTACCTCCTGTTCTATTGCCTCTCCAATATGAATCGCAGCCCGAACAACCCTAACACATCCCTCCTCCTGCCCCATCATCATCAACCCCATCATCTTATGCATCACAATAACTGAAATCTTATCAGCCGGCAAAAGCCCAATATGATAAGCATAAGCAGCTTTATGGGTTCTTTCCCTCTGCACTCTCTGCTCCTTCTCTATAGCATCCCTCAACGGCTCAAACCACCCCAAGAACAAAGATTTCACATACGGCAAGCTCGGCGCCAGCTTCTTCTCCAACATAACCCTCACCAACTCCTTATACTCCTCCGCTGCCCTCGCCCACGCCTCGGCCTCGGCCTTAATCTGCCTCCTCCTCAACGAATTTTGCTTCTTTCTTCTCGATTCTTCAGGCTCGGGTGAGGGATTGGGTAAGATGCGAACCGGGTCCTCTAAAAATGTGAAATTCAAGGGTTGGGTCCACTGGATTTGGAGAGATTGCTTGAGATGGGCAACTGGGTCGAGAGCGACTGGGGATTGGAGAGGGGTGAGATGGGAGAAGGTGATGGGGAACTTGTTATCGGGTTCGGGTGGGTGGGGATCCGACCCGAGAGGGAAAGGGGAGTGACGGAGAGAATTGAGAGGGAGAAATCTGGGGACCGGGTGAAATGGGGTCTTCTTGGATTTTCTGTGGATCTTGTTGGGTTTCCATGGCGGAATTGAGAGGAATGAAGTTAGCGAAGCCAGCGCGTCCAATTTAGAGAGAGAGAGAGGGAGAGAGAGAGAGAGAGAAGCTGAAGGAGGCGGAGAGGATAAACCTCGCTAAACCCCGCTGGGGTTTTTATTTATTTATTATTTATTATAATTTCTTCTTTTTTTAACTGGTCTGAGATTGGGGGATGAAGAAATATCCGAAGAGTTAACGGGTCGGATCTGGAGCCCACCGAATTTTACAACATAGGCCCAAGAACAAAGGTATATTGGACTTCGGCTTAAAGCCCACACTACACGGCCGGCCCAGTTACCTTACATAGGCCGGTGGTTCCCATAAAACTCCAACTCACCGCTACGAATGCACTCGCTCACGCGACATCAAATCAAAGCCTTATCTCCTCTGCGCGCTCATGGCAGCCCTCACTAGCAAATTCCCGCCTTTTTCACTCTCTCCTTCTCTCTCAAACCCTAACCCTAACCCTAGAAATTCTCTCATCCTAAAGCCCTCGCTCCCTCGATTCAAAACCCTAGAAGTCCGATGCGGGAAGAGGACCGGAAAGAGGCGGTACCCGTCGGAGAAGAAGAAGCTGGAGAAGCTGAACAAAACCCTAATTCAGACCGACATCAAGAACAAAGAGGAGGGGTTCTGGAGGATCTCGAAGCTCGGAGTTCCGGTTGGAAAGGATCCTGGCAAGGACTCGTTCGAAGTTTCTCTCCCTCTTCTCGAAGCCATTGCCAAAGTTCTTAAATTTCCTGTAAATTTCGTGGCTTTATCCCATTTTAGTGATTTTTTTCCCTTTGGGATTTTTGTATCAGCTGATGCTCTTTTGTTGTAGGTTGCTGGAATGCTGCCCAAGGATGCTTTTACTGTAGTTCGGAAATCTTTTGATGCAAGAAAGGTTTGGTCTTTCTTTTTCCTGATTCGTTCCAATTTTAGTTTTGATAATATCAAAATTCATGGAAAATATAACATTTTTATGGTTTCTTTATTGATTGTGGTCATAATATCACATGATTCTCTTCATGTTGAGTGCTGGATGACGTGCCTAGAGAGCTTCTTCGCAGTTATCAGTCAATATTTGTTGTTTTATTTATTAGTTACAAATTCTTCAGTTTGAGCATTTGAATGAGCATATGGTCTAAATTTAAATGCTGTAAGTGGTATGAACGTTTGGTTTCCTGACCGCTTGACAATTTAATAGAACTTAGTATTGATAGCATTTCTGTTCATGCTGCTTGTGTGGTTGTACCTCTTTTGACTAAGGAGTGAAATATGGTGAATAAATTTTGTAAGTTGTTCATTAGTTGTTGTTCCTTTTCTATGTGTCTGTTATATGCTGGCTTTATGTCTTTTGCAGGTTCTAAAGGAACCTAAATTTGTGTATTCTGTGAACATGGATGTTAAGAAACTTCTGAACCTGGAGCCTCGCACGTGGGACTTCATCAACAGACTAGAGCCTAAGCTTGGACTTGTGGAGTATATGCCTGAGGAAAAGGCTTCTGTTGATTTAATCAATGTGCTACATGATTGTAAAAATACCCAAGATGATATAGAACCAGACAAAGAAAAACCTAACAGTCACAGCATGGATTCACTGAAGCCACTTCCAAAGAGACCAAAGATCGCAGTTGTGGGCAGTGGACCATCAGGACTATTTGCTGCCCTTGTGCTTGGGGAACTGGGAGCGGATGTTACCTTGATAGAAAGGGGTCAAGCTGTTGAGCAGAGAGGACGTGATATCGGTGCCTTAGTTGTTCGACGACTTCTGCAGTCAGAGAGCAATTTTTGCTTCGGGGAGGTTTGTTCCATTTACATCTGGATTGTGGTGTTCTATATCATCATGCAATTTAAAGGATCTAGTGTTCATGCACATATTTGTGAATTTTTACTTTTTTAGGTTATCTGGCTCCTCGTGACCTGCAGTATTTGATTCTGTTAACTCACAAAATACTGGTCTTTTCTCATTTTTACTGCATTTTTTCTTGAGTTACTAAAAAAAATTCTGCCGTTAAAAATGTGCACGAGGAGCGATCGAGTTTGCCTTAAGATGCTGGTATTAAGGATTAAACTGTAGGACGCAGATCGGCTGGGTTAGACAGAGAAGGCTGCTTCGTCCTCTAGCAATCCACCACCTCTTTTCCAACTCATTCCCTCGCTCTGCATCTCTTTCCTGCACCTCTCTCTGCTCCCCTAACCTAATCACGTATTTTACTGCAAAGAAAAACATTGATTCACCTATTGAAAGTACCAACAACTTTTGTTTTTGGGTATATTTTGATAGAAAATTTCCAACAAACAATTTCTAGCCTTTAGGTCAGAACGGATCTGTTGTGATTTATGAGACCCGCAGCTTTGTGTGTAAATGAAGAATAATGCATCAATAAGTTGAAATAAATTGCTTATGCAATTAATTGTTGTTAAGTTGTGTGAACGAAATATTGATAGCTTTGATGTACTGATGTAATCATCATGTTATCAAATACTTAACTGGTAATCATGCAGCAAACTTGTAATCAAATAATATTCATTAAATACTTATTCAATGACAGGGTGGTGCAGGTACATGGAGTGATGGGAAGCTGGTGACCAGAATCGGGAGGAACAGTGATAGTGTTCAGGCTGTGAGAATCACTACTCTGTAATTTAGTTGTGTTTTAGCTATTACTATTTTGAATGTTAAGATGTGATAGTGTTTTCTATTGAGATGCAGTGCCTTATCTTTTTGTGATTCTATTTTATACTATAATGGTCATGCCATACTACTGTATTATATTGAACTTTGACTGTAGTGCATTTTGGATGAACGCAGGAGTGTGTAATTTCTAGTCTTTTAGCCAGAATGTAAAACCTAAGATATTTTATAGTTAGCTGATGACTGAAAACTGTAAACCATCCGTTCAACTATACTAGGAAGAACTTACAAGTCGAATTGAACTTGAATATTTGGCACTCTTCATAGTTCAGAACTAGGGGCATATAGTTTAATAACATATAATTTGTAGGTGACTTCACTATTAGTATGCCACTGATACTGCTTAAAGTGGACTACCAAAAAATCCTTATCTGAGATCTTTGAGGCCAGCTGCGTGAATCCTTTTTCTCCATTCATCTCCGCGAAGGTCCATCTCCTTCAACTTAAAAACAAATTAGATGGTGTTGGCAGTATATATCTTGGGCTTTGATCCTTCCATATAAATAAGGAATCTCCATCCATTTATTTGTCGAAGCATGTGATTCTGTTTGAATTAGCATTGAACCCACAGTTTTAACTTGGATAATAGATGATGTCTGATGGGCTTAAATGCAGTATTACGTAAAACCAACAGTCTGCATGAATGCATGTATATCCGTACAGATTATGGTGAGTTTATCTTCCATATGTACAGATTATGGTGAAGCCTAACTTAGTGATGATTCAGGCTCATATATTTTTGCTCATATACTTTTAAAGCAATCGTCGCGTGGTTTGCACTTTAATCATCAGTTGTTTGCGTCTATTTTTGCAGTTAGTAAATGAAGTTGTTTGTCTTCTCAGGTTATGAAAACTTTGGTTCAGTTTGGAGCTCCTCCACATATCTTGGTTGATGGAAAGCCTCACCTGGGAACGGATAGATTAGTTCCATTGCTACGCAAATTTCGTCAACATCTACAGGAGTTGGGTGTGAGTAATACATTTTGTGGTTTGTTTATCTTCATTACCAAACTGTTTCTTTTCGCCTGACAAAAATAAATCATGATTTTTGAACCTCTTACTATTCATTCATGCAGGTCAATGTAAAGTTCGGAACAAGATTAGATGATCTTATTGTACAGAGTGGACAAGTTCTGGGAATCAGAGTTTCCAATGCAAGAGATAAGCCTGGTTCCGACGGCCAGAACTTATTCTATGATGCAGTTGTTCTAGCCGTTGGGCACTCTGCTAGAGATGTATATGAAATGCTTCTACAGCACCACGTGGATTTGATTCCCAAGGATTTTGCTGTAAGTTATCATTTTATTTAGCTAATTCTATGATTGTAAAAATGCGAGGTAAGACTGCATACACTTGACCCAAAGTTGTCTGACACTTTCTCGCAGCCCGTTCATAGGTCATTGTGTACTCTGGCTGACTGATTTGCTAATCATACATGATTTGTCCAAACAGGTTGGATTACGAATCGAGCATCCTCAGGAGCTGATAAATAGCATTCAGGTAAATTTGTATGATTTGATATCTGACAAGTCATTTGCTATATAGCTAGTTGATATTCAAGCATGGTGATGGCTATTTTTGATATTCAAGCATGGTGATGGCTATTTTTGATATTCTTCTTTGCTATCTTTTACAGTCTCTGAACTGCTTTTGTGGTCTTGAACGGTTACTCTTTCATCAGATGGCAATTTTGATGCTAGTTTGATCGTAGTGGAGCAGCTTAAATTATCATTTTGATGTTAAGTTTCCCGTTTACCAAAGAAAAACAATTCAGATGTGCTGGAGCCTACACCATTTGGGAACTATAGTTCCTCTTTCTTAGCTTGTTAAGATAAGCAATTCGACTGGGTATTTTGGTGCTCTTATCTGTAATAACTGTTGGTATAAGTGATAGGACAATAATGTATCATTGCAAAGGCATAATTATTGTTTTCCCCAGCCATAGTTTCTGAAGTATTGTATAGAGCAATGTAAATTCATAGGAAACCAGCATATATATCAAATAGTAATTAAAAAAAGGTATAATTCAATCTAGGCAATATAATTGAACTTTATAGAGAATTCCTGCACATATTACGGACTGATGGAACCTCTCAAGCATCCATTGGCCCACTACAAACTTCACAGAGTCTGCACATATTAAGGTTGTCTTCCGAAATATAATCTTGGTTGCTAATAAATTGGTCGCAAACTTACTGCATCCTGTCGGTATGTGATCTTATGACTAGCATAATAAGACAGTAGGGTAGCTGATACTAATTTGATCAGAGTTCTACTGGTAGCAGTATGGTTACTTTCAGGTGGTGTGACATGGATAGCACAATTAGTAGCATCGACGGTATATGAGCACAATATAAGGCATAAGAGCAGTTTAGATGTTAGATTGTAGTTTTCTGTTAAAAAGCACTTGATATGTAACTGCGGGTCTCTGCCCACTTCTATAACTAATCTGTTGATGACCGGCTCTACCTGCTTCCAATTGTACACTTGTAACCCGAGGTTGCATGCACATCAGGTTTGGTATTATTTCTTGTTGGGTAAGCTCGGAGCAGCTACTTTCTTCCAGCACCTTAAGCATATAGTAACTTGTTTCAACCAATTCCTCTTTAAAAAATGAACGTAGAAGCTTTAAAATCAAGTTTGAAAGTACTTGTGAATACACATACTAAAATTGGCCGCATACTTTATATTTGTAGTATTCTGAATTGGCTGGTGAAGTTCGTGTGGGACGCGGAAAAGTTCCTGTTGCAGACTACAAAGTGGTGAAGTATGTTAATGGAGGGGTTAATGGAGCCAGCTATAGCACCCAGGACTTAAATAGAAGCTGCTATTCATTCTGCATGTGCCCTGGTGGACAGGTAGGTTTCTGGTTCTTCCCTAAGAAAAAGTATTTCTGTATCCAACGGTTGACCCTTGACGGCTTTGTTTAAATATATACTTGCAGGTTGTTCTGACCAGTACACATCCGTCTGAACTATGCATTAATGGCATGTCCTTTTCTCGTCGTTCATCTAGATGGGCAAATGCAGCACTTGTTGTGACCGTCTCCTCAAGTGATTTTGACTCCTTTCAGTGTCACGGGCCTCTAGTAGGTGTTGAATTTCAGGTACTTATTGCTGGAGTTACTCCAAGAGGTTATATTAACAGCTTCTTTCAGTTTTGTGCTATTTTTCATTATTACTTTGGGTAGATATTTTCGATTTTTACTTATTGGGTAGACTGAAAAAAATAATCAGATATCAATATATCGATTAATTAATTCTGTTTTTAGGTGAAGCTGTAGGTTTTACTATTTTTCTCGCCATAGTTTCAGAATGATGTATAAAGGAATGAACTATGTAGGACTTGGTTTTCTTGTCATAATTGTCATATTTATTTTAGCATAGTTCTCTTGCTTGTATTTCTTTTGTATTTATTTGAGCATGCCATATAGTTGTTAATGGTTTGGATGCTACCTAATTTTGAAGTTCCTTGCTATTGGTTAATAGAGTGCAAGTATTTTCGCTGTTAATACTCTGATCTGAAGTAGCTTTATCTGCAGTAAGTTATCTAATCTGGACTCCTTTTTCACATCACATATTGGCTTCATAACAGAGAGAATTTGAGAAAAAAGCAGCTGTAATGGGGGGAGGGAATTTTGTTGTGCCTGCACAGACTGTCACTGATTTTCTCGAGAATAAATTGTCAGGTAGATATCTCATTACGTGGTAGAGCTATAATTAGCTGCTCTTTAGTGTCCAGATTCTTGTGTATCTTATTGTGTTACTAGAGCATTACGTTATTGTTTTAGACCAAACAAATGACATGTTTGGTTCATGGTAAGAATTGTCATCTGCCTCTATGAGGATTCATAATCTGATTAACTTTAATTTCAGTGATGTCCCTGCCGTCATCAAGCTACCGATTAGGAGTAAAAGCATCAACTCTCCATGAATTATTCCCTGCTCGCATTACTGAAGCTTTACAACGGTCCATAACAATGTTTGATGAAGAGGTTCCTTTTCTTCCATGCAATTCTTTGAGTTGAATGACTAACACTCTTTTTTCCCCTCTTTGAGATGTTGATTGTGGTACTTCTCTGCTTTAAAATTTGCAGCTGCCAGGTTTCATAACCAAGGACGCACTTCTTCATGGTGTCGAGGTAAAATAATGTCCTATACTTTTCCTTGCATTCTTTTAGATGTGCTCAATTAGTTGTCTGTTAATAAGCAGACTCTTTTACGGATTCTAGAATTGAGGGGGGTTTTCTCAAAAGACGATAAACCAGCTCGTTCATTTGAAACGGATCCAAAATTAAACTTGAGAAACTTATATGATAATCTAGCCTCAAAAAATTGACAGACGTTATATGATTTAACACATATCACACATATCACATAATCATACAGTATGTTTATCAAGTTCAATATCAATCTTAGTAAAATATGTCATGTGCAACGGCATTATAGTGTAGAACTTAGATTTTATAACATCAGTTACCTTCAACGTTTCTAAGTTGAAACTCATTCTCCATTTATGCAAATAGACCTGGAGTAAGAGGTATTTAAGACCTATTATGCTATTCAAATTTTGCCAGAAAGTATATGTATGAAAAGTAGAAAACACTATGTTTATCGTGTTTTTATTTTGAATAAAACAAAGAAAAACCCCCATGGCATGTAGAATTAATAGAAATTTTGAAAAGTGATACTCTGCTCTCTCATCTTCAACCTTTAACCAAACAATCATCAATTTCTTGATGTAATCATCGCTTTTCAATGTAATTGAAACATAGGGGTCAAACTGTCACTTTTAGAACCTTGGGCATTTATGTGTGAATCAAACCTAACCTTGGGGCATGTTTATGAGAATCATGCAAACCTTAGTGAGATATTCTGTATTTTCCCTTTTGTTAAGCAACGGCTTAATACATTTATTGCTCTTGCTTTTAGACGAGAACGAGCTCTCCTGTTCAGATACAACGACATACAGACACCTATGAGAGCACATCACTGAGAGGACTGTATCCGGTAGGCGAAGGTGCGGGTTATGCTGGTGGAATTGTAAGTGCGGCAGTAGATGGCATGTACTGTGGTTTTGCTTTGGCTAAAAGCCTTCAACTTCACCAGGGAGATCTCGAAAATATACTGGGTAAAGCCCAGAAAAATACCGGTTTTGTAAAATACTAACTTTTCTATCGTTTGCTGTTATTAAAAATTTTGTTTACAAGGTCGGAAGCTAAAATGTTACACAGGCGTTGCCTTGAGATGAGAAGAAGACCAGTTCCTATCTGTCTATTTGTATGATGCTTCGACATCATTGGTATTATAAGCTAATGTGATTTTGTTGTAGATATGCACGCGTTCAAGCTACGTTATATTAGCTTTGATGGATTTGTGTCAGCCCTACTTGTCTCTTAAGTAGGCATGCAACCGGGTCAATTGTGAGTAGATAAAAGTATTTCTCGTGTCGGTTTAAGCTTTGATTTCATGATTCTAAAGGCCCAGCGTAGTAGCGGAACGAACCCGTGATTGCTTAAGAAAAACTTATACTCAGATCCTATTCAATTCTAAAAGCCATGTCAACTGGAAACCCTGTTGAGAAAACAACTTTATTCCTGCGAATTGATGGGGGAGCTCAACTCATGGCCTGCACACATGGTGGTCCAAAATCGGTCCCAAAACAAGCGCTCTTGATGCCGATGGACACGGAGGAGGCTTAATGATTTCAAGAGGGGCAGAGGCTCTGCTGTCTCATTATCAGATGAGATGAGATGCTTAGTAAGGTACGCGGTGAAAGGCTTAATGATTTCAATAGTGTTTAAAGGCCTCTTTTCTCTGTCTCGTGACCTAATGACATGAAATGATGCCTTAACAAAAACAGGGCTGTTTCTACAACTAATGCTGTTTAGTACTGCATCCCTGTTAGCAGCTAGATTGTTTGGCTTATGCTAGCAACCGTCCCCTTCTCAGCAGGTATTAGTTATCTGTTGCTATAATGAATGTCACGTCCGAGTCCTTTCTTTATTATATAATAAAGGGTTAGCAGCCCTTTCGTATGGATTCAGATCCTCTTCACTATCTAAAAAGTAACGGTTTCTCCACTACATCCCTATTAAGTAATCAACGATTGAGATTAAAAGTAGTGGTCTATCCACTACTTTTTTATAGTGAAGAGGATCCAAATTCCTTTCGTATAGCCCAACAATTTAGGGTAGGCCTCTTATAGTTCTATTTGGTGCGGATAGGTTCTCTGCGCTATTGTTCAAGCGCGGAGAGGCCTCCTCGGTGCACTAATAAGACAACAAGGGAGTCTATCCGCAATTAACCAAAGAAATATTCTGACTTCGCTTGCAAGTATACATTATAGATTTCTTAGTGATTTTGATGAAATTGGAGGCTTGATATGTCGCAATTGCTCTTTTGAGAAAAGACGGTGGGTGAACAACGCGTCACAATTGCTCGTATCATCCTTTTTAATGAAGTTTGGCTTTTCCTTTTCATGATTACTTTCTTTTTCTTTCTTAAGGTGAGACTTATGAGCGTGTGCAGTATTCTTAATAACTTGTGACAGCTTGTCTTTGTAATACTACCCAATATTGTTAATAACTTGTGATAACTTGTCTCGTAATACTACCCGGAATAAATAAGGCTAAATGACACTTAAATACCTTATAGTTACACACTATTAGCACTCATATATCCTCAGTTGTATTTCATAGCATTTATATACCCTGAGTTGGTCAAAATTAGCATATTGGTACCCTATGTTTTGCAAACGTAACAATTTTTATTCAAAATTTCTCATATAATATTTCTATGCTATTCTTATAGTTATTTCTCTGTTAATTTTGTTGAATTCATTGTTAAATGTTTTAAAATTCTATTTTTAAAATAGAATTATCATGCATTTAAAATTAGAATTTGGGTTGGTTCAATAGCAATTTAATTAATATTGATAGTTAGAAAGCTCTAAAATTAACATATAAATGTTATATGAGAACTTTCGAATTAAAATTTTCACGTTTACAAAATATAAGGTATTAAAGTGTCAATTTTGACCAACTAAGGATATATACACGCCACAAAGTACAAGTGAGGGTATATAAGTGCTAAATGAGTGAAAATATAAGGTATTTAAGTGCTATTTAGCCAATAAATAAAGAACAAGTGTTTGACAGATAACACAAAAGAGAAATTCAACCAAAAAAAGACAAAAATAATTGACATGAACTAATACTCGGGCATTACTATAAACTAGTTGAGATGCACGTGCAATGCACGTGGTTAGATATCATGATTATTTAAATTAATAAAAATAGAATAAAAATAAAAAAAATAAAGTTTTTTGTGAGATTGATCATCAACTCAATAATCTCTCTCAACTAAAATATTATCATTGTTTCTTGCAACCCAGACTGTGACCACGTGGTCTACTATTTGTGAGTTATAAACACATTAATCTAGTGCAACATCTCTGTTTATTAGTATTTTGAAGTATTTAAAAGATGAGTGATCATTCAATTCGTAAAAGAATTTTTTATATGAATTTATTTTGCAATATGTCCATAAACTATTAGTTGTGGTTTGACTCATATTCACATTGACTTTTAGTTATGGTTTTACTCATATTTACATTATCTAATATTCTCATTCAATTTTATATCTCATTCTCTGTATCATAGAAGTAAAACTGAAAGTATGAAGAATTATTTTCTTGCGAAATTAAACTAGGGAGATTATGATATATTTCGCCATGTGTTCTAAATATATTTTTTTTTCTTTGTTGTAAGGTCCCTATCAAATCATACCCTAAACGATATGAATGAAAAATGCTATTATAACTCACTTATCTAGGGCAAAATTGTATTGTATATAGGACGCATAACTCATCTGAAATATCCACATCTGCTAAGTGGATTTTGCTGTTATGAGATTATATGACCCTTTTTAATAAACTATAAAGTATATATATGAAAACATTAATGCTTATAGTTAATAGTTGTGCTCCACAAAATAGGTTAAGTTTACATTGTAGTTTGCTATTCGTAGTACTGTTAACAATGTCATTACCTTTCCTCTTTATCTATTATTCACGCTTTTCTGATGCAAGTTCTCTTTTGCTAATCACTCAATTGGCCATATTTATTTTTTAATATCAGAGGTTAGAATATTTTCTTATGTTTAAAAAGTGTTGACATGATTTTCTTAAAAAATATATAAACATAGTAGCAATAATATATACTTCAGTTCAACTCAAATATTGGCTTAAAGTCATTTAAGGTGAGGCCCTTTCTAAGCTAGAATGATGATGTAGTGATTACACAATCCAAAAGTCAAAGAAGAAATTTCTACAAAGGAAACATAATTTAATATGTTAAATTAACAACTAATTTATAAAATATACATGGGAGGTGCAAATAGCTATACAAAGTAAGGTATATATCTTCATAAAAATTTCATAGTAAGTGACCACTGACCAACGACAATCATCCCAATTTAAGAATAAATAATTATTATCTTAGTTACTAATTTGATACATGTAACTATAGAATAAATATCAAGCAAAAAATAAGAATTAAAATTGTATTAAATTTAAAAAGTAATAATTTAAATTATTAAGCGCCAATTATTAGTTCATGTGAGAAAGTAAAGTAATCTATAGTCTATATGTCTATATAATAAATCAATCAAACATATTATAATTATGATGACTACAGTCGAAATTATATGGTTGATTCACATTAAATATAATTTATAAAAAAATAGTACATTAGAGTCAAAATCCTTTTAACCACTATATAGATTGTCTAAAATTTTTGCATATATAAATTACACTGCTTACGAATAGCGATGTGTTGTACACTCAATAGCCTAATAATCTTAAGAACGATTTACTATTTAATATCATCATTAATTGACGTATCTATGCATTACACTGAAAACACAATGAAAATTTAGAAAACTATAAAAGAAACACCCTAAAAATTTTTAAAAATTGTAAAAGAACACCCTTAATTTTTGTAATTTACAAATACACAAAACTATTAAAATATTACATTAAAATCAAGGAATTAAAAAATTTATTTAAAAAAATCAAACTTTGGAGGGGTAATTTGCAATGTGCTAAATTTTAAGGGTGTTTTTTTTTGTAAATTTCAAATTTAATAGATTTTCAATCATTTATGTTCTTTTCAAAAAAATTATGGGAAATATTAACCATGAAAGATTTTTTATAAACTTATACTTTTAAAGTAAGTATGATATTTTTTATAAAATTTTAATTTTATAGGGGTTGTTAATAATTTTGTATATTCAATTTAGTGTCTATAGGTTAGAAATTCTCATGGTTTTTTTTATAAATTATGAATTTTAGGGTTTTTTATAATTTCTTAAACTTATAGGTCTTTTCTAAGGATTGTAAATTGTTTATAGATTATTTATAATTCCTATACTTTCAATTTACTATTGAGTTTGAAATTCTCAGGGTGTTATTTATAAATTTTAAAATTTAAGGTTTTGTTTGTAATTTTGAAACTTCAAGGGTGTTTTCTATAAATTATAAATTATGTAAAGGGTATTTGTAATTCCTATATTTTCAATGTACTATTAGGTTAGAAATTATCAAGATTTTTGTAAATTTTATAATTTTAATGGTTTTATTTTATAATTTGTAAAAAGTTCAGAGTGCTTATTGCAAATTTCATAAATTTTCGGGTGTTGTTTGTGCTATTTGTAGATTTTTAGTATGTTTATAAGTTTAAAAATTTTAAGGTGTTTTTTATAAATTTTAAATTTTTATAGGTTTTTTATAATTTTTAAAACTTATAAAATATTTTTTTCCAAAGTAAAAAAACTTTTAGTTTCTAGCTAGCATATGTTTCAGATTTCTCACTGAATTGAAGTAATTAAAATTTATAATTTTTATGATGTTTTAATAAAATTTTAAATTTGTAGGGGTGTTTTTGCAATTTAAAAACTTGGAGGATATTTTTTACAAAGTCCAAAAAATTTTAATTGCTGACTAGCATATGTTTTTTAGATTTATCTGCAAACTGAAATAAGTAAAGGATTTTAATTATATCAAATGTATTTATTTTATTCAATAACATGTTAAGTCTCATTATGAATATGATAAATCATTTAGTTACTAATTCAAAGAAGATATAATAATTAGAATAGATTAGGATAATAATGTAATATTTTAAAAAGTTAAGGGTAATATTGATCATAGAAAGATTTTCCGAACTCGTGCTTTTAAAGGGAGTATGAGAAATTTTCAAGGTGTTTTTTATAAATTTTAAATTTTTATGGGTTTTTTGTAATTTTCAAAACTTATAAAATATTTTCTGTAAAGTCAAAAAACTTTTAGTTTCTAGCTAGCATATGTTTTTCAGATTTCTCACTGAATTGATAAATAAAATTTATAATTTTTAAGATGTTTTAATAAAAATTTAAATTCCTAGGGGTGTTTTTATAATTTAAAAACTTGAAGGATATTTTTTACAAAGTCCAAAAAATTTTAGTTACTGGCTAGCATATGTTTTTTAGATTTCTCTACAAACTGAAATAAGTAAAAGATTTTAATTATATCAAATACACTTATTTTATCCAATAACATGTTAAGTCTCATTATGAATATGATAAATCATTTAGTTACTAATTCAAAGAAGATATAATAATTAGAATAGATTAGGATAACAATATAATATTTAAAGAAGTTAAGGATAATATTGACCATAGAAAGATTGAGATTAATGAGTATCCTTGTCATAGGAGGAGATTGCCCTCCTTGTCGCCTATGTGGCACAATTCCCACCATCCTCAAAAAGTAGGCATAAATCCCCACCAACTCACACACACTCTCCTACTTTATGAGGATGGTAGGGATTGTGCCACATAGGCGTTAAGAAGGAAATCCTCTTCTATGACAAGGATACTCATTAATCTCATATATATATATATACTAGTTTTTACACACGTGCAACACACGTGATTTAATACCATGATTAAGTATTTTTGGCAGTTTGTGCTCATTTTTTTCTTTAAACTCTTACATCCCAATTATTTTTTATGTTTGTTTAAATGGGATACACCCAATTTAAATTTTCATGTTGATATTTGAATTGACAAAAAACAAATATAATTTAAAAATAATTTGAATTTTTATATTATTTTTGACCGATATGAAACTAAGCTTTATTTGAGAAAGTATAGCATTGCAAAGTAAAAAATATTAAAATAGTGTTATACAAGGAAGGTGAATATTTAAAACTAATATGGCAAAATGATTGATTTAAAGTATGTTAAAACGATGCAAAAGAGAATATGAAGTTTATTCCTAATCATTGATAGACTTCATAAAAAAATATAAATTAAAGATTAATGCTAACTCTAGTATACTTTTATATGATAAAAATATCCACATAAGAATATAAAAGTACTGAAAAAAATTTATGAAACTCCCTTCTAAAGATTCCTAATTTCACTCAAAATAATTAAACTATTCTATAAAATATTCATAAAATATTGTTTTTATTTCTTCTATTTTATTTTTTATTGAGTTAAGATCAATCCTTCTTCAGGTTTATCATTTATCATTTCTCGGACAATTCTAGAGTATTGTCTTCATCATCTACATCAATTGTGACATCAGGCTAATTTTGTATTTTTTATGCTATTATCTTTCCTAGGCTCGTTAATTTTTTATCATCTCATTTAACTTTACAAAGAAGTCAAATGTACTTATGATGTTCAACACAAACTGCTCAAAATATAGACTTTGATTTTTTTTCTATTTCAATGAGAATAAATATTAATTTCATATATATAAAATTCTTTGTGTTCCTAATTTATTACTTAAATAAATTAGAAGCTATCTCTTTATTTTCCTCTAAAATGAATTCTTCTGATGTGCATCCAATAAGAATTTCTGTTATTTCAATAATATTACCTTTGCTCTATCCCTGTCATTTTCCATAAAGATCTAAACTAAATACCTGCATTATTCATTACCAATTTCTCTTAGATTATAATATTAATATTTAATTTGAAGAACACAGTATGGAATTTATGAATACTTACTAATTTTTCTTATGTCTTCCATGGAGATTTTTTCTTTGATTAGGATAAAGTTATTAAATTATTTTTTAATGTAACTCATTCAGTGCTTCATTAATAGATATGTCTTATGTTAATGCCAATTCAAGTGATTCATTGACGTTTTCTGAATTTTAGATTTATTTCCATCACTTTCCCATTTGCAATGGAAATAACTCAATTCTTTTAAAGTTATCTCTAAATATTCTAATAGTTTCTCCATATGTAATTCCTTGTATTCTTTTACCCTATAAATATTATTAACGTCAAAGATTAAAGTTTCTAAATTAAAATCAATTAATGCTAAGGTATAACTTTTGAATGTGTTTCTATAATTTTTGAGATATTGAGGGTGTTAATTAAAAAATTTAAATTTAAATGTCAAAAATTTTAGGTGTATCATGGTAATCTCTTGAATTCATCTGTGTTGTTTGTAAGTTTTAAAATTTTAGAATTTTAATGTGCTTGTCTGTAATTTAAACTTTTGAGGGTGTTTCTATAATTTTTGAGACATTGAGGTGTTAATTGTAAATTTTAAATTCTTTGCAAACTGATGTTAATTTTTTAATTTCATGTTTTTTATTTTAAGTTTTGAGACATTTGGATGAGTTTTATAATTTTGAACTTTTCAGGGTCTTTTCTGCAGTTTTAAAACTTTTTATGGTTTTTTTGCAATACTTCATGTATTATAATATGTTATCTACTTGTAATTTCTTTATCTTAACAAACTAATATCATTTTTATGTTTTATATATTTTATTAATATTAGTTTTTTTAAATTGTTAAGCTAAACATGGTTCACATAGGATTAGGATAAAATATGATTATGATTAGGATAGATTAAGATATAAATAAAATATTCAAAATAGTGAAGGATAATATTGACCATTAAAAATTAGAATTTGATTATAGATAAGGTAGTTCAAACTATAAAGGGGTATATTTGTCTAAAAAAGATTTTCCGAACTCGTGCTTTTAAAGGGAGTATGATAATAAAATTTTTACATGCCACTACAAGTAATCTACTATTTAACGACCAAAATTAGTGAAGGGACCATTTGCCCGTCATTAATGTGCATATAATAACGACGGGTTTATATATATATATATATATATATATATATATATGAGAAATATGGGTATGCTTGGTACCAAGCACAAAAATTTGTGCTTTGTAGTGAGGTGTCGAATCCCCATCCACTCATTCAAATGTTGGAACAAATTCACATGAGTAGTGAGTGGATGGGGATGTGACACATCACTACCAAATTTGGTGTGTTAGGGTTTTAGAATATGTAGATCAAGTTCAACGGAACTGATCATCCACAATGTAGCTCAATCAAGTGATCATCAATGACTAAGAAACTTAGTGGACGTCCACTTAAGTTAACATAAGTTTCTCTCTCTCTCTCTCTCTCTCTCTCTCTATATATATATACTTAATTAATAAATAATAAATATATATATATATATATTATATATATAATAGATATATATTATTATATATGAGAAATATGGTAGCTTGACCAAGCACAAAAATTTGTGCTTTGTAGTGAGTGTCGAATCCCATCACTCATTCAAATTCTTGGAACAAATTACACATGAGTTAGTGAGTGTGATGGGGATGTGACACATCACTACAAGCATAACTTTTTGTGAATTGTACACAAACATACCATCATCTCTCTCTCTACTCTCTCTCTCTCTCTAGTATTATATATATTATATATATTATATTATAATATATATATTATAATATTATAATATATTGATATGTTGGTTACCAAGCACAAAATTGTGGCTTGTAGATGTGCTCACATTCTCATTCCACTACTACCCCATGGAAATTGTTCCATCTCCAACACGTCAAGTTGATAATTTAATGAGTGGAGGAGGATCACATTCTCACTACAAGCATAATTTTAAGCACCGCCCCTTGCTTGAGACCAAGTCATACTTCATATTCTATATATATAATAATATATATATATATATATAAATCTTGTGATTAATACATGAAAAATTTGTTCAGCACCTCCAATGGGCTAATCGGGTCCAAATCGGGTCGGATCCAAACTCACCCGACCAGCTGTCAGAAAGCCAAGTAAGCAGTTTACCAACTCTAGGCATGTCACAGGGAGGTAACAACATCTTGGGTCAAAAGTTCGTACGAAAAAGGGAACAAACTAATTAGACTTTAAAAAAACAAAACTAATATATTAATTAATTAAAGTAGAGTTAAAACAAATAAAGGCGTGCTCTTTGTCCAACGCCCTTTTCTTAACTGAAACCCGCTTTTTTCCCCCTAAATAAATAAATAATAATAATAATAACCCAAGCTTGGTTGCGTCGATTTTTTTTCCCTTCACTTGGATTTCTCGTCTAATTTCTTCGTCGAAATCGAGCTCGATCCGAGGATTCGCGGATCTAAATCGAGGCGAATTCTTCAGGATTTTGGGCGGATGCTTCGAGGTTACGCTTTCGGTTTTATTTAGGTCATTTCTCATTTGTCGCTCTGTTGAATTTGGGCGATTGGTTTCGCTGGTCTCGAGGTTAGTTTGGTTGCTTGGATGCTCGATTGATTGTTTAATTTAGGGAACTTGCATCAATTTTCATGAAATTTGATTCATTTTTAGGAGCGTAAGTTTCTGGTTTTGTATAGGTTTGGGAGCAATTTGGAAGGGAATTCAGCTTTTTTATATATATATAAACTTCAATAGGTCCTTACATCCTAGTACAGCGAATTAGGTTTTATATTTTATATTTTATTTTATTTTTTGAAAATTGGATCTTTTCTATGATAGAGAGACTGAAAAAGTTGAATTTTTGTTGATTTCTTTGAATATTATTTTGTTTTCAGTAGCTAAATTGAAATTGTGGAAATTAGTTTCTATCTGAGTTATGAGAATACCCCCCAAAAAAACATAATAATAATAATAATAATAATAATAAACCTAAAAATAGAGTAGAAAAATGGGTGATGTTTTATGTTATAGCTTTAAATTTCTTCTAATTTGTTTAAGAATTTCATGGGGAATTGGAGGGATCTTATTGTTGATGTGGATCCCCATAGTTCTCTCCAAACCCTAGAAACCGCCATTAAACCAAGATCCCTCGCAAGCTCCAACCTAGAAATGAAGGTGGATCCCTATGCAAAGTGGTCAATTCGCTTTTATCTGTTACCATCACTTGTTTACAATTTTAGCCTTCTCTTGAAGAGAGAAGAAATGCGGAAGACACTACTCATTTAAGCTTAAATTTGCCGACCATGGAACTTCAGTAGGACAAAAGACAGACAAAAAACTAAGTTAGGTTACTGACCTGCATTAGTTTATTTCTGCTGTCAAGATTAGAAAACACTTCATCTTACTTAGTTTGACGCATCCTTCGGTTACACTACTCCCACTGGTTGTACTAGTCTTGCATGTGGTTGACACTTGACACAGTTGACCTCTTGTATCTTGGCCTGATTTGCTCAGATTTGAGTGTATTTAATTTAGATATTAGCTTATTGTATTAACTTAGGAAACCCATTTCCCCTGGAATTCTGCATTGCCTATATTCATGCCCTTGGACCTTGCAGATCTCCGTAGATTCAGCATCTATAGGTTTGTGAATGGACCTGTTATTTTACGTGGTTTGATGTCCCATTCCTGTTTACAGTGTTATTCTTGCAGTAACAATAGCATTGAACACTACATCTCATCCATATATTCATCATGATAAACTCAGAATACCTGTTTTCCTGCAGAGCTATATGACCAAAATTTTCTCTTACAGCTCGCAAATCTCAGCATATGCTTCCCTGTATGAGTTTGTGACTTGAGTCTAAATTACTTTTCTTTTTGTACAAAAGATCTAACATGAGTTGTGTTTATCTATATTCTTAAACTGTAATTTTCTTCTACTTTTGTCAATCATCATCAGGTTTTAATTAGGGTCTTGTGCCACTGGTGCGTGTAGGTTTACACTTGTATGAAGAAAACCTCAATGTGGTCTGATTCAGAAGCCCTTTTGAATGGATTTCTGCAAAGATGAGGCTCCAGCAGCTACAGCACAGCAGAAGACATTCCCAGCAGAAGAAAAACCTCGGCCGGTGTTGGTTAATTCAGAGAAGAACAATGCAGTGCCGACCAATGTCAAGCCTCGTATCAGAGAAATTAGCTCAAGGTACAAGTCTGGGATCACATCAACTCCACGATCCCCATCTCCAAAAGCTAGTCAGACATCGCCGATGTCAAAAACTTCAGCACCTCAGCGGCCGCAATCAGCTGAAAGGAGAAGGCCTTCAACCCCCTCATCTCCTTCATCACGGCACTCAGCGCCTTTATCCTCGTCATCTCCTTTCTCAAAGACTTCCAGGCCTTCATCGCCGTCTTCTCCATCGTCAACTCCTTTCTCAAAGACTTCCAGACCTTCATCACCATCTTCATCCTCAAGGTCTAGTACTCCAGTCCGTGACTCAAAGGTTGAGAGGGTGAACTCTTCCCGGCGATCACTGGTTTCCCGAGCTCCCGATGGTTTGTGGCCTTCGATTCGTAATCTATCAACTTCTTTCCAATCCGAGTCTTCTTCTAATCTGTCAGCTTCTTTCCAATCCGAGCGTTCTTCTGCTCTTTGTAGTAAGAGCGAGAAACCAGTCAGAAATCCTTCTCCAGATCGCACATTGAAGTCTTCTACGAATGCAGCTTCTGAGAGGAAGAGGACACCATTGAGAGGGCGAAACACCTCAGGCCAAACAGAGAATTCTCGGCCTGTGGAGGATTCACATGTGAGGGCAATCGATCAACTTAGGTGGCCCCGCATGATTGGAGGGAAGGTATCCACCAATGCCTTGTCCACAAAAAGCATGGATTTAACTGACAAGATGAGTAGATCTGGCTCTTTGTCGATTTCAGCACGAGGGTTTTCACCTACAAGAAGAATGTCCTCAACGGATGCTATGAACAGAGGTCTCAGGAATTCAACAAATGAGGTTGCGCGACCAGTTTCTTCTAGAGGAAGTGAAAAGGGTGCACGAAATGTAACTTCAGTTCCATTAGAAAGAGCTCCTTCAAATACGAGGCCGAGTAGGAGCCCATCACCTCTTCCAAGTTTGGTTCGTCCATCATCACCAAATAAGGCTTCAGCAACATTGTCTAGGGGGATGTCGAGTCCATCAAGGACAAGACCAACAACTCCATCTTCTCCATCTAGCAGTGCATCAACACGACTCGGTGCGTCATCCTCTATTTTCAACTATATTGCAGATGTGCGAAAAGGAAAAAGGAGCCCCAGTCACATGGATGATTCCCATCATTTGCGTCTACTTTACAATAGGAACTTGCAGTGGCGCTTCGTCAATGCCAGAGCTGATGAACAATTTTCGACCCAGAAGATAGTAGCAGAGGTTTGAAGAAAATATTTTAGAATTTTGGTTTCATACGATATGTAGGGTACAGATATTTATGATGGAAAAGATGCTAAAACCCCTTCGGATGCTGTAACAGGTTTCTCTTGTTGCATCCTAGAAGCATGAATGTTTTTAAAGAGATCCATTCATGAGTTGGTAAATGCCCCTTACATTATCTTTTACACAGAGTACATGTAAGGGGCATATTTATGCTGGTTGTGCAATAATTTGACCTCTTTAACTCAAACCAACTCCTACTTTTGTAACACTGGTAGAAATTTGAACCTAGAAAAATTAGATAACTCCTAGTAATTCACAGATATCCGAGGTAAACAATGTCCATAGACTTTTACCAAATTTATGAGGAAATTATAAGAATGAACTCACTAACTTCTTCTCTATGTGCTTCTTATATTTAGTGTTGGCACTGAATTTTCCATATTCTTTTGGAACGTTTTATCCATGCTATAGTTTCCAGATTGGGTGGATAAACTGTTTGCTGATTTTATTATGTGAAACAGGAGATGCTTTGCAATGTTTGGAATATTACGTCTGAATTGCGTGATTCAGTCACCGTGAAAACGATGGACGTGCAAAACCTGAGGCGAGAAATGAAGTGGAAATCAATAATAAAAGAACAAGTAAGTTCTCTAGTATCTACCATTTCATCATCAAGCTCGATTTATGAGCTCCTAACCACTCTTCTGCTTAAGAGTTACAGACAACCCTTTGATTTATGAGCTCCTAACCACTCTCTGGTATCTACTATTTCATCATTAAAGGTTTTTGGGCTGCATGGAGATGTTTAATAAGGCATCTAACCTCAAAAGAAACCAATATGCACTCATCAAACAAAGTCAACTAACTAGGAAAAAGAGGCTGGTCTATAGAGTTTTCTTTTGCTTTTACATATGTATATTTCTTAGTCTTGTCTCATGGAAACATGAGTCACCAATTGTGTAATAAATCCAAAATTTTCTAACTGATGTGTTATTCAGATGGCATACCTCGAGGATTGGAGCATACTAGGAGAAGAATCTTATGATTCTTTGTCAGGGACAATTGAAGCTCTTAAAGCAAACACATTGCGCTTACCAGTAACAGGAAGGGCAAGGGTATGTAAATTAATACATTAAAAATCTAGTGCTGTTAAGCATGTTACGTGTATTTGAGTTGGTAATCTGATGGTTTTCAAAAGAAATAACTGATCCGAGCCTAAATTTTCCCTCTTTGTTTGATTTCTTTTCTTGCAGGCAGATGTGGGTGCTGTAAAGAATGCTATTAGTTCAGCAGTTGATGTCATGCAAGCAATGGGCTCCTCCATCTGTTGCTTGCTGTCTAGGGTAATTCTCTTGATGTTCACCTCTGCTTAGCTGTCTATTTTGTATACTATAAGCTGACCACATGATGTTACGTCCATTTGTAGAACAACCCTCATGAGATTACTCGCTTTACTAACTTGAACTAATTTGGTCCTAGGGGTTATTTTCTTCCTGTGTTATTTTAATCTGTTTGAACATTGAGGTCATCACATGGAAATTTGTATGTTTGGCAGGTGGAGGGTACAAATTCTGTAGTTTCTGAACTTTCTGAGATAGCAGCAACAGAAAGCATCATGCTTGATGAATGTAGAGAATCACTAGCTGCAGTGGCAGCTATGCAGGTAAAATTGTGCTCTAGTCATGTATCTGCATTAGATAAGATTCATATATAGTTAATTATCAATTCTTTAAGCTTTCGCTAACATATCCCGTATATGCCGCATACAGTGTAGTCCTTTTGATAACCTTTCTTCCAAGTTATGTCAGCCAAAGTTGAGCTCTCCCACAGCCCAAGCAAGCACTCAATTATTAATTAAAAACTTCAATACTTAAACCTCGTTCTTCAACTATATAGGTGCGAATCCGGAGCCTAAGGTTTCGCAAAAGAGATTTACCTTATTTGGTAACAGAAACAAAAAAGTTGAAATAGACAAGTCTACGGGAAAGATTGAGCTTAGTTTCTGCACTATGCAGTGAGCAGTAAAGAAACAAAATTCTGTCTAAATGATATTCTAGGTGCTTTTAGTGTAATTTGCTGGCAAGGGTTGTGATTGGAGTACGCGTCGTGTTTCTATACTTACTATCTAATCATTTCAATGGAACTATCATCTCTGGTGTTGTCATCTAATATCACTTTCTGATTTTAATGTGCCAAGGGGCTTTAAAATTTCAATTCATCGGTACTACATTACTGCTTGCTTCAAATTGATATTTCAAACTTTTCTGCCTTCTGGTGGTTTACTTTAGGTACAAGAGTGCAGCCTCAGAACACATCTGATACAATTAAGACAAGATTTGCTGGTGGAGTGATCCAATATCTTTGTGGCTAACAATTAACCATTGCTGGAGATAACTACAGAACCTGCTCAATCTCATGTGTAAATTTGTTCTTACTCCTCACTTCTCTTTGCCTTTTGTTCCACCCTCATCTTTTTCTTCTCTCAGAAGGTGTATTGTTTGCCCCTGTAATTTTCTCTCTCTCTCTCTCTCTCTCTTTCCCCCCCTTTTCTGCGTTTCATATGGAAAGAAATGCAGATAAATGAAAGCCAAGATGAAGAGGTCAAATGTTTATGTGTATATAGTCATCGTAGTTGTCCACGTGTTGGCTGGATTAAGAGTACATTACATAAAGCATAATTTTTCCAACAAAATCAAAGTCGTTAAGATGAGATGATGAATGTATCAACTGAAATGTACTACTGTAAGGGAGCATTAGATCTAGGAGAATTTTTTTTTTTAAAGATCATTTTTGAAAATAATTAGCAAAATCGACTATTTTGCTTAACATTTAGCAAAGTCGACCGCTTTTTGGTTACGTCATCAAGGCTAGCCAAAAAGAGGTTGATTTTGTAAAATATCATGCTTAAAATACATGGAACTAGTAGTCCTGTGTATTTAGGAATTGCTAATTATGAGAAGCCTAGATTATATCCGCAATCCACTTTCTTTAGTGCGTCCGCTGGTGTTGATGTGATCCGCCGGTGTCAACGTGATCACAAGAAACGAGGGCTTCTTAGCCGACGGAATCCGGATCTGGATGTACTGGCCGGTGGCGGTGGTGGTGGTGAAGGCGGGAATGGATGGATGGAGAGGTGGGGGAGAGGCATGGGGTTTGCATGGGGATTTGGGCGGAGGAGAGAGTGAAGGGGGACGGGAGCGAACGCGTGTTGATTGACACACACGTGTTGATTGACGCACGCATGTTGATTGACGCGTGCGGTCCACTTAGCGTTTTCCATTGTGGTGGTTCGTTGTCGTGTCATCAACAGTTTGCCGATTCGCTTTATGCGCTTATCGGCGTTGGATAATCCTCTTTGATTCGGATAACGACGTTCATCACCTTCGGAGGTGAGTGTAGCAGCCACTTGTAGGAATTGGGGTTCGGTTTTGGTCTGTGGTGAGAGAACGAGCGGAATTTGGCGGTGAGGTGGGAGGTTCGGGTTAGAATTGGGCACCGGAGTTTTTGTCATTTTGAGTCTCATTATTTACACGGAGCTATTGGTCATGTGTATTTAAATGAAGTAGTTTAATATCTTAATTGGCGTTTACTAATTACACAGAATTATTAGTTCTGTATATTTCGAATATTATTTTTCAGAAAATCGTTCATTTTTTGGCCGGTCATGATGACGTGGCAAAAAAAGAGGATGGTTTTGCTAATTATTTAGCAAAGTTGTTATTTTTGATAATTATTTAGCAAAAAATCGGTCTCTTTGAGAAATTCTCCTTAGATCTAAGTAACACTTTGTAAAATGCACATCAGGACCGCGCCAGCGTTGTCGGATTTTTAAAATTAAGTTTACATTTTAATCTTTGATTTTATGGTATCCTCGTACTATCTAATAGTAGCACGACTATGCAATTGAATGCAATTCACATGTTTTCAACTTCGTCTTGATTAACCAAGCAGTTGTTTTATGATGTTCTCGTCGTCGTCGCCTGCTGCCTTTTCTGCCGAAAGGAAATGGCTATTAAAGCCAAAGGTATTCTAAGCTCATGTAGGTCCTTTTTCGAGCTTTAACTTTAATAATGAGCAGCAGATAAAGGTGCATGTTCTTCAACTCAGTGTCCTAAAAAATAGCAGCATCGTGTTTACTGTTGCACCGGAGTAAGAGAGGGAAAATATGAAACAAATATTTGATGGCAAACGAAAGAAGAAGCTGGGGATTTTCACGGCGAAGGCAGTGAAGCTGTATATTAAATAATTAGGAAAAAAAATAGGGAAGAATAAATTCATTGTTTTACTCCATAGGTAAACCTAGCAAAAAGCGCAATCTTCGACCATGAACAGAAGAGATATTTCTTTCACAAAGTAACTATTTCAAACAGTTTTTTTTGCATTTTTTTCTAGCGCTTGCTTTGGCCCTGGCGCTTATAAGAAACCAACTTCTCAATCGAGATCAACATATCATAGCAGAGTGTAAGAGTTGAAAAGGGAAACAAATTCATACACCAAAAGAAGGGATATTCTCCATGACAACATTAGGTCACTTCAAGAATAACTTGCCGTGGCTTGAGGCCAAAATCCAGGCATTTTTTCTTCTTCTTCTCATCATGGTCTCAGATCAATAATAAAATATAATCCACACGACCTCGCAGAAATATACAGCTCATAGAACTATAGCCTATACTCTCACAGATCCGCTACAGACAGTTTCAGCAAAAAAAAAAAGAGGAAAGGCAAAATTTACCAAGTATTTTACCAATAAGTTTACAGAAGAAGAAAAAACAAAGCAAGAGAACAGCTAACGTATAACAATGGTTCATGATATAACAATGGTTCATGATATAAGGCTTTCACAAGCCTTGATATCAGCCGCTTGCGCTCCCAAAATTGCCTGAGCGGATGAACTAGCTCCAACACTCCTCATCACCGCATCAAACATTGCAGCCTGAAACCTCGAGTCCTCCACCTTCTTCAATATCTCCTCTACTACTTTGAAACTAAGGCCACCATCCACAATGAGCTTACCAACAACTTCGCCAAAATACGCCGGTGCCTTCGGTAAATCAATGCCAATATCATCCAACATCGACCCGTAAAGCAAGCATCCAGTTCCCAAGTCCTTTTGTGTGAAAACCTTCTTAGAAAACAAGAATTTCAAAAGTTTGACGACCAAATCCACACAGGCTGAACCCTTGTCGAGGGCAAGATTGATGGCTTCTTTGACAACCTCTGGGTGGTATTCGGGGCTCTTTAGCTCCTCTATGCATTGTACTGCCTCATCTAGGATGCGCACATGGAAATACTCTTCAAGAAGTGAAATTGTTTTCCTTTGTAAATCAACAGGGTTTGCCTTCGGCACTGCCGCTTTTGGTGCTGCAGCAGGTCTCTCAGTGACAACTGGAGACATCGGTGCAAGAGGTTTCGGTGTACCAAAACTTTGGGCTGCGCTACCCTGCAATAATGCACTAGTTTTTCCGGAGATAAGGCCACCGCTGCCTTGGGGTAGTAGCTTAGAGTTAATAAGTGAAGCCTCTCCAACCATAGAAGGAGAGTTACGAAAAGCTTGACCTTTGGGGTTTGATTTAGAGCGAGGGACTTCCCAGTTGTCATCGTCGAGCCCGGGCATTCCAGGCATTTTTCTTGTTCCGGGCATTCCGGGCATCATACCTCCTGCCCCTGGTCTATTAAGAGGGAAACCGCCAGGGCTTAGAGGACCTCCTATTGCTCCAGCACCACGACCACCATTTCTCATTGTTCCAGGTCGAAGTCCAAGGTTCTTCTCTGCTTCACTGTGGATTTCAGAGATGGTCTTGGCTCTCATCTGCAAAGGTAAACCATGAATGATGTTCAAGGAAACCAAACTAAGATCGCGAAAGGAGTAGATTAAAATAACTATTCGTCGGAAACATGTTTATTAGCACTATAAATATAATTTCTCAAAATTCTCACAAACATCTTAGCAAGGTGACATCTATAACTGTAACTTGTTCGCTTGGTCAAGCTTTTGTAAATCTTCACTTTTGTGACTTCAACCCTAAATCATCAGCCGACCTTACATTTCTAATTTGACAAAGTCAGGCTACCAACCTTCACAGAACTCCCTCAGCACTCAGTGCGTACACACATGTGAGAAGTTACCAACCACTTCCTTCATTCACTAAGTAGCCTTCATATGCTATTATCTCCTTCCCCCTAGACAGCACAAATTCAATCTCAAGTTTCAACTAGACCTATTTTGTTTAACCACTTCGATACCCCGGATTTTCAATGTCCTGATGTCAGCCACATACTGTTTAGCCTTACTTCAAGCCATCAAAGTATTCATCAGGCACATACACCCATCTTCCAATATTTATCACCCTCTCCATTCCTTTGTAAACAATTAGCATGTTAAAGTAAGTGGTACTCATCTAATTCTACTTCAAATACAATAATAAAGCTGATTTGCACTAAATTAGATAACATGTTACATGTACTATACGCTATCTCACCTCTTCACGTCGGGGGATCCAGTTGTTGGTACGGAGATCTAGGACATTACGAACCATAAACTTCAAACGTGGTGCTAGTTCAGGGTTCTTTGTAAGCTCCTTCAGACGGTTGAAGTAGGCATCATTAAATCTACGAGATTTGGGGCTTTCATCCAACTGTTTACCGATTGTGTTAAAGAACTGACAGATAGCCTCAACATTTTCCTCAGCTGGGCAAGTTTTTCCATCATGTCCAAGTAATTCCTGCATGAATGATCAGAATTAGCGGATCTTCTACTAAGAAAAGAAAAAAATGTACATACCAACAAGATAAAGAATATAGCCTAAACACACCTGAACAATATGATGAACTATTTTTTCTGGCACCATCTTTTGCTTTAGAAGCTCACCAATGAGGCGAATGTTACCGAGGGTACGGAGCTTCACCAATCTTTCTTTATCCTGGCGCTCTGTTTCCTGATCTGGGTCCGTTAGTTTTCCAATCTCAGCCCTTAGACTGTCAGCACCTTCAAAGGCTTCTTGACAATTATTTAGAAGTATACGCTTAAAAGTGATCTCTTTACCGCCTGGCTCTTCAGAGGGAAATGGAGGCAGTTTATCATTCAGATCAGAGCACAATTGAGCATACATAGGACAAAAGGTGGGCTCCAAGACTGCTTTGTCAAATATGATTGTAATGACATCCTGCACCATCAAAAAATATTGAGCAGCTTTACTCCCCCCAGTTGTACACCGTAAAACAAAAGAAAAGTTCTCTGGTTCACAAAAACCTTTAGGATATCAGGAGTTGTTATTCCTGCATCAATAAGTTGGCCCTTGAGAAGATCAAATTTCTCAGGTGTCAGCTTGTTCAATATTCTGCACATCATCATAAGACGGAACAAAGTTATAAATAAAATCATTACTTCTCTATCAGTTCTCAATTTAAGGCCTGCAAGACAATGACCTGTGGAAGAAAGATTTTCATGTAAAAAACACATCATTAAAAAAAGCCCATATAAGATAAAGCAATACAACAAAAATAGATCTAAGGTCTGCAAAGAATAACATGTCTTCGAGATAGATAATTGTGAAAATAGCCAAATGTACTAGCATCATAAACGGGGCAGAAATTAGTACCCTTTAACAGTTTTTAAAACCTGGTCTTTTTCAGAAAGACTGCCTCTTCGAACAGACCATGGCACTTCAGCTTTAATTAAAGCAGGAGCAGGTCCACCCTGATAAATTACAAGAAAAATGTCAGAATGAACATGAAGTACCAATAAAAGTAACTTCATATTCATATAACATGCATGCCACACAAACAAAAACAAGTCGCCAAATAGACGGTAATTAAGCCAAAAATAACAACTGACAACATTAGTAAATGTGTGTGCGCGCGCGTGTGCGTGTTATTCTGCGTAAGTGTGTCACTGTTTTAAATATCAGCCGATAATCCGATATTATCGCCAATTTATCGGATTAGCGAGCTCTCCGCTAGGATAAGTAGGATTTTAATCGGTTATCGTTTTTATGGGTTTATCGGGGATTTATCGGCGATAAAGGAGCTTATCGGCCGATAATATGGGCTGAAATTATCGGGTTTATCGGGTGGAGTTTTTGGGTTGGATTGTTGATTTCTTAAACCGAACCCGACACGCTTTGACAATAAAATGAAACTTCAGCCCTAACCTAACCTTCGGGAAACTCTGTCCTGTGGCTATTCTCCGCGCCTCTTCGTGAATCTCGTCGCTCGCTTTGCCTTCGTGAACCTCGTCGGTCGTCGCTCGCCTTGCCTTCGTGAACCTCGTTCGGTTGTTCTCCGTTCCTCTTCGTGAATCTCGTCGCTTGCCTTGCCTTCGTGAACCTCGTTGATCGTCGCTCGCCTTGCCTTCGTGAACTTCATTGCTCGCTCGCCTCCCCGACCTTTAGCCCTAATCTTCGTGATCCTCGTCAGTCGTTGCTTGTCTCCGCTGACCTCAGAGCTCACCTCCGCTGACCCCAACATTCGCCGTCGTCGCTCCGCTCCTCTTCGAACAGGTATGCTCACTGCTTAGTTGTTTTTTCACTTTTCTTTTAAGTTTATTTTTTCTCTTCTTTCTTTTTCTTTTAAGCTCGTCTCCCCGACCTCATCTATTCTGATTACTGTCTTCTCCTATTGTTTCTTTTTCCCCTTCCTTTCTTTTTCTTTTTCCTCTGCTCAATTGTTTGTCACTTTCATCATACGTAACTTGATAGTTATAAGTTATAACTCTTTTCTGTAAGAATTTCTGTGAAGTTTTAGGATTTCTCCATATATCTATGTTAAAATACTGTGACTTGCTGGGAGACTTGTATAAGAAATTAGTTACAAGTCTTGTAATTAATTTATAGCAAACTTGTAAAGTTGTAATTAATTTTAAGAAAATACTTGTGAGATTGTAATGTATAAGCAAATTTAATTTTAATTACAGTTAATTTTCACTGCAATTAGTTTATAGCAAACTTGTAATTAATACTTGTGACACTGTATAAGCAAATTTAATTTTAATTACAATTAATTTTAAACAATTAGTTTTTACTTGAGCAATTAGTTTTAACTATAACTAATTTTCACTGCAACTAATTTAGCTAATTATAAGTTTATAACTCGGTCAATAATCTATGAGTTTCATCGAATCACTGCTCACTACAACTAATCTCTGAGTTTCATCGTGCGGTCAAGATGCAAGTTTCGCTTTCTACAATTGGTTAGTGATTCTAAGCATGATTATTTACATTTTGGTATGTTTATATTTCATTAAGCATAGTTAGATTATATTTTTAATTATTATATTATATATACACCATCCAGTATATCGCTCCGATAAATACTACTTATCCCCGATATATCCCCGATTTTCACTATCTGATAAGGATTTTGACCGTCCGATAAATCCCCGATAACCGGTATTTAAAACATATCTTTAAATTTCTCAAACACCTTTATAATATATGTGGACATACAAACAGACCACATATATTGCTAATCGCTATGTTCTTAATGATTCTAAGAGATAATTGCAAGAGGATCATTATACAAGTCATGCATTCCTTACCTCAGATCTTAAATTTATTATTCATATTTATTATATAACTTTTCTTTCAGTGATGAACCCATACCAGGGTGTATATAGGCTGCTGCAGAAACCTCAAGAGGGATGATAACACCAAGGTGGCATAAATTTGATATTCACATTTATAATATAACTTTTGTTTCATGGTCAGGATGTATATAGGCTGTTGCAGACGCCTTTAGAGGGATGGCAACACCAAGGTGGCATGGACAATATTGCAAATAAAGAAAGAGAACAGGAAAAAGAAATCCCGGCAGATGATTTACATGGTTTCAAAACCAAATAGTACACACAAACATGAGGGCAAATAGACACATACTCTTTCTAATTCTAGAATCAGACTGAAAACGCAGAAGATGTGTTACCTCCTATAACTGTAAGTAAATATGAAGATAATTTTATTCAGAAGCTAAAAACTGGTGATGAAAATCAGTTTGCTAGCATTATATTTCAGCATTGTAGAAATTTATTCTACTGATAATGCTGGCAGTTTCCTATGGTATGAAGGTATATATCTCTCTCACTAGCAAGATTAGGTATGCTAATCAATGTCCAACTCTCATTTCATTTGCCAGACTATCTGCTTTAATTTACTCAAGGCTATGAATTATGACCAATTGGGGATAAGATGCCTTAAGAAATAAATATTAGTACATGAACTATTTTTAATTATTTCATACTTTAAGATCCTTTAAAAGAAATACAACTCAAAACATGTAAATTATATGTGACAAATTGGCAAGTATTCACCACCGATAATGTACTTATCATGTCCTTATGCCTATCTCCGAAAAACATAATAGTGTCTACAAATCATGGAATCTTTTTGCATGATTACCAAGCTCAACAATCTCTCTAACAAAACACACAGATGTTGAAGAAATAAAACTAGAAAGATTGATTTATACTCAAAATCCCCAATAGTCTTGACTGCATAATTCATACTCATTGAAAATATGTAGACGTAAAATGTTCATACAGGCATATAATGATATTACACTATATCTTTACATAACAATTGTGACGCCTGCTCTTCAGATTTGAAGCTTACAAGCAGCCATCTCTAACTTTAGTAAACAATCTTTTTATGTAAGAATCTAGATGTAGGACACACGACAGCATGTGTACAAAAAGAGGCACACTAAGTCATACTACAGTAAAACATGGTAGTTTACCCATTTTATGCAGGATATAACGAGAGGAGAAATGTGTTAAGGATGCACAGCTATATATGAGCTAACACTACATTTCATTTGCCATCAAAAGTTACCACAATTGCTTAAAGAACAAATATGAAATAATAAAATGAAAAACAATTAAATCAAGCCATAACTGACATCAAGAACTATGTAGCGGCAAAAATATGTTACTACCTGGGAGGAAGGAATTTGTCCTCTTGATGAAAACTGATCGGATTCATTCGATCCTTTATTATCGCGATCTTGAACCCAAGATCTCTCCTCTCCACCCGTTTGTCTAGGACGATCACGCCAATCACGATTATCAGGCTCAGAATAACGTCCTTGTGTTGGAGTAACGGCCTAAATAGGTATATTAAGCATCAAAATAACACTATTACATATAACAATTTAGTTACAGCAAAGCAAGTGTACGCAATATGATTGCTAAGAGTATGCTTAGAGAAGATAATCAATTTAATAACAACCAAACACATCTCTGTTTTTTTATTAATGCAATTCACAAACTAAAACTTACATTAGAATCGGTACGACCCCAAGTTTGCTCTTCACCAAATAGCTCAACATCAATCTCTTGCTTGATCTTCAGAATATCTTCTGGTACTTCAACAACCTGTAGCTTATAAAAAAGCAAAAAAAAATGATATTCATAAGTTCCTAAAAGAAGCAGAATGCATTGAGCTAGTAAGGTTTCCAAAAACCATACGCTAAGAACATATAGGTACTGATCAAGAAATTTATTTCTGGTGCTTGTAGTAGTCAGAATTTCATCATTTGAAATCCACGGATGCACAAGGTAAAGTGTTAAAATACCACCAAATCAGTTAGATATTCCAAATAATATAATGAGCGGGCATCAAAGGATTCTTCAAGGAGATCCTTACAAGAAAACCCTTTGACTCTGAGCTGAGAGTTCAAGTTATTTTTTCATCAAGTGACAATTTGACATAGAATGATAAAACCTTTGGACTAAAGGCCAGTTTGGTATTGGTTTTTTTAGGGTGCTCCTTCTTATTTTTTCAAGAAGCAGCCAACAATGGTCTTTGGTAAAAACAATTTTGGCATGCTTATTGATGTTGCTTATGCTTTTAAGTGGGTGCTTTTAGAAGCAACCCGACATGCTTTTAAAAGCAACTTTTGCTTTTTTTTTATTTATATACAATATATTTCTTATATCTTTTAATAATGATCATTAAGAACAGTTCTACCAAACACCTTAACTGCTTTTTAAGCAGTTTTTTATAGTTAATTAACAAACTGCTATTCTCAGTAGCTTATATGAGTTGCTTTCATAAGTTGTTTTTATAAGCAACTTATTATAAGCACTAGCAATACCAGACTGGCCCTGAGGCTTCAGTGTGGTGTTAAAGAATACTAAGAAATTAACCTTTAACTTTCTCCGCTTTCCCTCCCAATATATACCACCTACATGCATACCCTTATAATTTTTCTCTATGCAATGGATGGAGATTGACAAGTTCATGTGAAACATGGCAATACTAGTATAGAAAGTATTAATGTCATTCCAATACCTTGAGGTATAGTGTAACTACATGAATGATCATGGAGTCCGTGTATCTACATGGGTAATCTTGAGGTTACGGGTTGTAATTACACGGGTAACCTTGAAAGTTGTTTTTTGTCTGGGCTCTAGGGTCATCCATGTATTACAATTAGTAATCTTAGGGTTACTCGTGTAGATTCACAAATTTCAGGTTCACCCCCTAACACACCATACCTCAGGGTACCGGAATTTAATTAATATTAGAAAGAAAAAGATTCAGCAATACCTCTCTGAGTTGTAAAAGTTGATCCCTTGTATAACAGACGCGCTCCCGTCCATCAAACCTTGAGTCTCCACTCTAATAGAATAACCAGCAAAGTAAAGTGAAGCCAATGAGAAAATGAACCAATTCCATACTGAGAAATACAGGCACTAGACCATGAAGTGCATGCACCTAGCAAGCATTCAGAGTTTACTCACATCAATATTCCCACACAACCAAAGGCATAGAGTAACATTTCCAAGATTCTATCAAGAACAAAACTTTATTATTCCAATGAACTAGAGCGCGCCCAAAATCATACATCAACCGATAAAACCTAATGAAAAATGTAAACAAATCATGATCCGAACCTAACCAAACTCCACCAAGAACGGTTCTTTCTTTCAAGGTATCAATACTACCACCCCAAGATCAAATATCTCCTACCAAGAACCAAAGAAACCCCATTTCAAGCAATCTAAACAAAACCCTAGCCCCAAGACACCTAAAAAAAACAAAACCCTAGATCCAGTTCATCGCACCTTAAGACCCGCCGAGGTCCGGAACGCCGGCTGATCGGACTGCGACGAGCTACTAAGAGCACTGAACGCCGGCGAGTCAATTCGAGGGCCAATATGTGCTGCCGCCGCCGCCGCCGCCCGGTCTCAAGCTAATAACGGTCTGATCCTGCATAACTCGTCGATGACTCTTCTAACGGCGGTGACGATATCAGGAGTTCGCCGATCGATTTAATAAAATTCGTCGATCGAGTTGTTAAAGGAGTGAAAAGAGAAGAAAACGGGACAGAAATAAAAAAAACAAAGATGGGGGGCTTCCTATTTTGCTCGGGCGACAGGATGGTGGCGGGGTAGTCTCGTAGATAAGTGACAATACGATGGGGTAAATATGTAAGTGTGCGCTTATGCGGTGCTGTCGGCGGTCTGGGATGAGATATAGCGTCGCCTTCGTTTGCGTCTACGGAAAGTGTCTATTGACGGTTTTGTCACCGCGAGATGAAGGGAATTACGAACGAATGCCATGGGCATGTGCGCCGGCCCAGTCGATGGATATCAACCGGAGAAGGGTTGGTTTTGTTGTCCGGTAGATCGCGGCCGTTGGATTGGCGGAGGCTTTCATCTTCGCCGTTGGTTTTGTACGTCGTTTCCTAATAACGTCGGTGCTGGTAATAACGGAATTAGGAGTGAAGATGGGCCGGGTAGAATTGGATCGGGCCCGATAGTGGAAGCCTAATCATGATTTCATTTTGTGTACTGGGCTATCATTATTTTGCTTCCCACTAATTATTAATGTATGACTATCATCAAAAAATCTAACGTGAAGTCTTCGTTAGAATTATTTGTTTGCCCGTAATTCAAAATCCAGAGGAATTGTAAAACTCATTTCGTCAGAGAGTTCTTTTATTTTCGTTTTTTTTTTTTTTTCATTACCACTTTTTTGGGGGGTGTAAAGAAAGACTCGTTGTGGTCTAGATTTAAACTTTTGAGTTTTCATAGTTCATCTATGAAAACCAACCTACTAATAAATTAGACATCGTTTTATATAGGGAAAATACTATAGGCACACCCCCAACCACACCTTGGAGCACTGTAGCTGAGAGAGGGGGTGTGCCCCAAGGTGTGGTTGGGGGTGTGCCGGTAGTGCCACCCTTTATATAGACGTGCTTAGGACACCAATAAAATTGCTATTTTTGAATCCCAATGCATGATCATGAGGTTGGGACAATCTACACTTGCGTCTGAAATTGCCAGCATAAGAGGAAAACAGCATACATCTTCTCCAAATATTGGACCCATCATATTCCAAACTTTAAGACTGCAATCACACACAAGAAAATTACATACGCCAGGAGATAAACATATACATACGCATACAGAAAGTTTATACAAGTACAGGAGCATGTAAACTTTTACATAAAAAAATACAACATACATCACAAAGTAGCAGTTCAATTATTTTTCAGAACATAAATGGTTACAACAAACATTCGATCAGATCTGGAACACATTTGTCTGGAACCTCTCATCATAAAGCCTCCAGTGACCATACCTCTCAGTATGATACACAGATCTCGGTATATAAAAGTTCGGTTTTATCAGCTTAATCAAATTCTTCAAATTGGCTGAAGATTGTTCAATTCCCCTACTCGTTAAATTTACACACCCGAAAAGATCCAACACTTCCAGCTCTTGACATCCCTCTGAAACCGAGATCAAACCAGCAGCAGTAAGCTTCGAGAAGCGAAGCTCAAGGTGCTTCAGCTTGGGCATTGCACGTGCGATTGCAGTAGCCTCCATGTCTCCATCTTGAGGGCAATTCCTCAAGTATTCATCTGGGACAATACCGGTATGCTGGGAAGGGTCCAGCCAATTCATGAAATTTCTTCTGAGAATTGTGAGGTTCGGGCAGTTGTCGCCAATTGTTTCCAGCGATTTGTAGGATATCTCATAACAGTTACTGATGTCGAGTTCTCTAAGCATTGAACAACTTAGTGCGATTCTGGAGATGGATGCATCAGTTACACTCTGGCTGCTTTGGATTGAAAGGACTTCAAGCTTTGGTGACCTGAAAATCAATCAGCTTAAAACAATTATGAGTTCTAAGAGGGTTTAAGACATGTGACGCCTTCATTTCTGTCACAAGAGCAAAAAATATCAGTCTTACTTCACAAGGATAGCATCTAAAATGCAAATTAAAAAGTGGAGATTTGCGCAATTGATCTTGATTGCAAGCTTTCCCCAACTCATACCACACTTGAAAAAAACCCAACCTCCCAAAGAAAAAGAAGAAAGAAAGAAAAAAAAAACCACAACCGCCCGTGTTCATCTTTTTTGGTTACCAGATTGCCTGAAAAGTCCGTTCTTCCAAACGCTTCCAGTTTCGTGCTTAAGCACACAAAATTTCAACATAACAACAAAGTAGCTCCACCAATATAAAAAAGGAAGGACAAAGGATGGAACAGTTCATAAGCCGCACTGACTCAAGATTTATATGGGTTAGGATGGACTCAATTGAGTGAATTGTGACGATATGATCCAATATCATTTTCCTTGCTCATTAAAGTGTAAACAAAGTTCATTTTTGAGCCAAAGCATTTACTCTAACCAGAAGGCAAAACACATTAAACTCCAATTACTAGCTGGGATACCTCCTAAAATGTAAGAGAACCCAACTCCCAGAAAGCACAGTAAAATTTAAGATGTCTGTCAAGTAGTCCAACATTAAGAATTATTAAAACATGTTTTCGTAAAATATTCTGAGAAACAGACATTTGAATCATTTACAAGAGCAACAGGATTGGAGCAGAGTATACCTCATAACACAAGGGCATGTGGATATATATCAATTCATAAAACATAATCCTAATGACGTCTAATGCATACATCTGAATTCATATATGTTGGAATGACATTGATTAAAAAAACCCTCTTTAACTATTTATACCCCAAAGAATTCCAATCTTTTAGGGGTGTCATCGACTATTCAATGTATTCATATCAACCATTTAGGAAATGTCAGCTTGACTATTCATCCATCCTCCCTTGAATTGATGTTAAAATACTTTGCTAAGACGACTTCACAACATGTAAAAATGCATCTCGCATCCCAATCAAAGGTGAGAAAGGAACCAAATTAGGGGAGAATTCATGCGGTGGTATGAGGTTATCCCCGCAAAAAATAGGAAAGTGTTCTCACAAATGGTTAAACATGATTGGACTAGAGGCTAAGATAGGTGTTTCCATTTTTTGGACCAAATTTGATTCCAATCTTATTAATCGGTCCACCTAGTTGAACATTGCATGATTAGGCTTCTGCTAAATCCTCTAAAGAAAGGCATTTCTCATTCTTCCGCACTTCCTTTTCTTGTATATTCTGTATCTATCTGCTCTTGTGAATATATTCAAATATGATTCTGCACTTTATTATCTAAGAAGTTGCCTTATTAGAATCCGTTACATTTAGGATTGTAACCATAACGGAAAAGAAAAGAGACATATAAGCTCACAATCCTATTTCTAAGACGTGAACAAGATCATAATCCTACTAACCAGTTTTAAAATGTTATGTCCTGATTTCGGGCTTCCCCCATAAAAGAAGAGAGGTTACATGAAGTCACAATTTGAAATTTGCTCGATTAATCGAAAACTTCAGCCTCGCACAGGGATAGAATAACCTCTCTTGGAACCTTCAAGAAAATTGACTGCTAATACAACAAGAAAATTGACTGCAAATGCTACGAACCCCCCATGATACACATAAAAAAGATCATAATCCTACTAACCAGTTTTAAAATGTTATGTCCTGATTTCGGGCTTCCCTCATAAAAGAAGAGAGGTTACATGAAGTCACAATTTGAAATTTGCTCGATTAATCGAAAACTTCAGCCTCGCACAGGGATAGAATAACCTCTCTTGGAACCTTCAAGAAAATTGACTGCTAATACAACAAGAAAATTGACTGCAAATGCTACGAACCCCCCATGATACACATAAAAAAGATCAATTCCCCTCTCCAATCAAATTCAGCAACTTCTACAAACCGCTCCCAATTTCAGTCCAAAAGAACTACAAACCGCGCCCAATCTCAGTCAAACAAAAAAAAAGCAAACAAGAAACAACCAGCAAGTTCATACCTTTCCGCAAGCAAACTGATCGACCCATCAGAACAGTGCCTGACCCTAACCTCCCGAACCGAACCAGCACCCCAATCAGCAACCGATCGGATCATCGAGTCGATCCTTCGCTCGAACCCAGCGGTCCACCACCCGATCAAATCGCCGGAGCCCGAACCGGCGGCATCGAAATAAGGCTCGAGATCGAGAGACGAGAAGAGGGAAGAATCCTTCGATGCCTCGAGCCAAGATTTGCACGTGAGCATCGCCCCCGCCCATCGATCCCGCAAGCTGAGACGCCGGAACGCGTTAACGAGGAGGACCGGAGTCAGATCCGACCAGTCTCGGGTCTGTTCTGGCGGGATCCGGGGTTCGTCTTCGCCGGCGCCGGCGGTTGCGGTTTTTCCGTCCATGGGTTTGATTTTGGGGTAAGATTTGGGAAAGGGGTTGGTTTTTTTTCGTGGAGGGGAGCCGCGGTTATGAGATTCGAGCGGTAGTTTGACCGCCTCCTTTCGCGCCAGCGGATGGGTGTACGGATAAGGGAAGTTGGACCGTGTTTCCGAGTAATTATGGGCCGGCCGACGGATTATGGAGGGGCCCACCCAATCGCCCGAGGAAAGAGGATACAAACAAAACTACAAAAGGCACGTGAATAATCATTTTTCGCCTGCTCCAATATATTCCTCAGTTAATTGCGTTGGTTTTGCTGCAAAATATTACGAATTATATCTCGAGATATGCTTTCATTTATTAGTATCATAAGATCTCTAGAGAAATTGCAAAAATGGGCATAAATAAATATTACATTGCAAACTTAATACCAAATGTAAAATACGGAAACCTCGTGTAAGTTTTTTTTAAAAATGGTAAATTATAGATTGATTTCATTCGGACTTCAAATCATGAGATGCAATATCAACTAACATCAATGACGATTTATTACACCAAATAACATTGCTTGTGGTGTATCATAAAAATAACCGAGTATTAACCCATGGACCCATTCTAGGAGGTGATATGTGTATTAAATTAACTGCACATCAACCCGAACCGACTTCATGAAGGCCGAGTCAAAGAACGTCTTCACTAGGCCCCTCCTAAGAGGGCCAGGTCGAAAGACGTCCTCGCTGGGGCTCTACTGCTAAAATCAACTTAGTGCATTATCATTCAGTTGGCCGAGCCGAGGAGCGCCCTCATTCAGAACAGCAAAGCCGAAAGCCGTCTTTTGTCGGCCTCCCTCGAAAAGCTGAGAGGAAAGGCGGTCTTTCTCGAACCCATCAATGACAGTCAGTCGCCATCTCGTTAAATGCATGGTCGGACCACCGCCGAAAGTCTTAATAATAACTCATCGGACAACGTCAGCACCTTAACTCCCCCGTCACCGTGGGCATTAATTACAAAGGTGACTCAGACCACCCACTGTCGACACCGGTAAAGTATCAAATGAATAAGCTGACTGCTTGGACTCGGCCAAAATTACGCAACTGCCATGTTGGATCTACTATAAATAGGCACATTGTCTACTGCATGAAGGTACGTGATTTTTGACACGACAATATACCGTAACCATACTTTTTTTTCCTCCGTCTGAGATCAATACTGATCTGACCGTCGAATGAACCACTGGAAAACCTAACTCTAATCCTCTCATATGTTTTTTGTTTTTTGTATGTATCGAAAGTATCGAAAATAAAGCCCAGAAAAGTCTGCCATTGGGTCAACCTACCCGCTCCAACCAACTCCAGTAAAACGCCCAGCAAAGATCACCTGAAATATCGAAAATGCTACAGTGTGAATCTCCCGCGCCGTCCCGCGGCGTTCTTGCCCGCTACAGTTCCTTATTCGTTAAGAAACTCATCTATTTAATTAAACTCCCTCAAACTTCCCTCCTTTCATCGTCCTTTAATTTCTCCCCAAAACCCTAACCCCAGCGATCTCCCCACCAATTAATGGAGTTCGTGTTAGATCTACATCATAAACTTGAGATCTAAAACCATATAGCCATGATTAATTCAAAATCAAAAGAGAGCGGAAGCTTATACCTGAATCCATTGCTTAGTCTTGATTTTGGGTTTTGGATCTTCTAACCTTAGGGTTTCCTCTTAAAACCGAATTTCTCTCTTAGATGGGGGTGAAGAGAATTAGAGAATGTAACCCTAGGTTAGGGACCATAACCCCTTATTTATAGATGTTGTACTTTTGTAATTTAGCCCCTCAATAAATTACAATTACAACCTGGTATCTGCACATATAACCCCATGACTTATTTAAATACCAAATTAACCCAACTTAATTGATCACTTTAGTGGGTTATCCTCAAAGATAGCAATACACATTGATTAATCATATGTGCCCACAAATAGATTTATTAGATTAAATCCAACAATCTCCCACTTGGGCACCATATGATTCCTTAAACTGTGTATAACCTTATGAGCTCAAAAATTGCTATCACTGAAATGGTATTTCCGAACAATCTCGTCCATTGACTATATCAATATAGGATCAAAGCGGCCTTCGTCACATTTATCGTGACTCGACCCATCAATGGTCACATATACCAATACAATCAAACGACATAGATCAATCATGGATGTGCAGCATGAAAATTACATGCAATGTGATCAGTACATGTCTATTTTCAACTGGTCCTCCTTAGTGAGGTCAAAACCAAACATAATGTAACAGAGTGTCTTAACTGAAAACTTTATTCTGATCAGACAATACAAACAAACATAAAGCACCACAAATACAAACTCCCACTAAAACATAATATCCTCAAATAATACCACACCCATATGAGCAGTATGCTCATGAAAGACCTTAGGTGGCAATCCCTTAGTAAGAGGATCAGCTAACATGGAGTTTGTCCCAATGTGCTCTATGGATATCTGTCCACTCTGTACCCTTTCTTTCACAACCAGGAACTTAATGTCAATATGTTTTGACTTAGTTGAGCTCCTGTTGTTATTGGAATACATTACTGCAGATTTATTGTCACAATATAACCTTAGTGGTCTTTCAACATTTTCCAAAATGCGCAGTCCCGTGACAAAATTTCGCAGCCATATTCCCTGATTGGATGCCTCATAGCAAGCTACAAATTCTGCTGCCATAGTGGAGGAAGCTACTAGTGTTTGTTTGACACTTTTCCATGATATAGCTCCTCCTGCTAACATATAAATGTAGCCTGATGTAGACTTCCTGCTATCTTGGCATCCAGCAAAATCAGAGTCCGAATACCCAATGACCTCTAATTTCTCTGATTTTCTGTATGTGAGCATGTAATCTTTTGTTTTCTGAAGATACCTCATAACCCTTTTGACTGCTATCCAATGATCCATACCAGGGTTGCTTAAGTATCTGCCTAACATCCCAACAATGTACGCAATATCCGGACGCGTACATACTCCTGATTTGGAGGGCCTTCCGACGTCGGGCAGTTTGCCTTCCCGTCTAGTGTTTCTCGGGCCTGTATGATGGTTCAGGCCATTATGAGAAATGGAGGTTTGGACCCCCTGTCTGACGGGTGTTTGCCGTCGCTGTTGGTTAGTTCTCCCAGCGGGAAGAACGTCACCGTGGGTTGTGGCAGTGTGGTTTGTGCCGGAGTGAACCGGCGCTCCCTCCGAGGCAGGTGTCTGTGTGGACCGTTTGGCGATCCATCTGGCAGACCCTCGCCCCTTGCGCTCGATCTCTGGCTTGGCCTTGATCGATTGCGAGGGAGTGGGCTCCTCCGATGAGACTCGGTTGGAACCCTCAGGTGCAGAGGCTTTGACCGTCTGAGGTCGGCCTCGGCGCACAGCTCTGTGGCGTTTGCGGGACGCATCGCCACCAGAGGAGGAGGAGGACAAGTATTCTTCATACTTGGCCTGGTCGAACTCGATGTCGTCCCGACAGCAACCTCATCAAACTGAGCCACCACCATTTCACTCGATGAAACAGCTTCTCCCACTGTGGTCGCCATCTTCTGTATGATGTAAATTTGATTTCCCGAAAACAGGGAGTGTTCGTTTGTATTAATAAGAAAGCTTATTACAAACTAACGAATCAAATGATTACAACAGAAGCAGAGGGAAAGCCCTCTTTGTTTTGTGTGGGGACTTTAGGTGGCTATAGGACGCTTCGCTCGATGCTCGTGTCGAGTCTGCTTCCCTTGGACCGTTCGATCGAGGTTGCTGGAGAGCTTCAGTACGCAGTAGAAGCTCGGGGCAATAGAGTTCGGTTTTGCTTAGTTCGCCGGCGATCGGAGCTCGGAACTAAACAGTGATGCTGCAATGCAAAGGTTATGCAGAGAGCTTGGTCTCAACTCTTTTCTCTAAGTTTTGCGACCTCTCCTCCAGTGTGCTGGAAGGGGTTTTAAAATGAAAGAAGGACAGCTTGACTCCTCCTTGAATGGTGGGATGTGACCACATCTTCTTCAGAGACGTCTGGTTAGCGTGATATTTTGTACAGTCCTTCTTTACATGTCCAGGCTTCTTACAGAAGAAACAACCCTGATTATCCTTATGTTGTTTCTTCTCAACTGGACCCTTAGCAGCTTCCTTATCATTCTTCCTTTTCTTGCCCTTATCCTTAGAGGCATAGGCCAAATGAGCACTTTCTGTCTTATCTTGCTTCAACCTGTCTTCTTCTTGCACACAGTATGAAATGAGCTCATTTAGAGTCCATTTCTCCTTTTGACAGTTATAACTGACCTTAAATTGGTTAAACTGTGCAGGAAGAGACAACAAAACCAGATGCACTAATAACTCGTCACAAAGATCGAGTTTAAGTGCCTTAAGCTTTGAAGCAATATGAGACATTTCCATAATGTACTCCCTGATATTTCCTTTGCCCTTATACTTCATTGAAATCAAGCGAGCTAAAAGCGTGCTTGTTTCTACCTTATCGTTTTTCGCAAAACGCTTCTCAATTTCGGCAAGGAAATCTTTAGCCTTAGTAATCCCTTCGGATTCTATGCCCCTGAAGGCTTCCGGAACGCCGCGCTTAATGATCATAAGACTCATGCGATTTGAACGCTCCCACTTCTCATGCTCCTTCTTTGCATCAGGAGTGCTATCCGCATTGAGAGGTTGGGGTTGTTCAGTTCTTAATGCATAGTCAAGATCCATGCAGCCAAGAACAATTAATATGTTCTCTTTCCAAACCTTGAAGTTTGTCCCATTTAGCATGGGAATTGAGTTGATGTTAGCAGAAATTGTTGCAGCAGATGCATTAGCTGAAATAAAACAAAAGAATGCTCACATCAATAACCATAATCAATAAAATTCAAATAATGACAATCCCCATCCAAGATACCGGCACAACATTAATATCAAGTCTTTGGACAGTAATATTAACTTGTAAGTGATACCTTGTTGCAATGATCAAACATTGACAATAACTCATGTCAAATAATGAAACTATCTTTGGATCGATTCATTATTCACATGTAAACCTTATAATTGTCACACGCTTATCATCGCAGATGTGTATACAGTCTAAATAAATATTAACCTTCCTTTGGGCCGATTAAATATTTACACGAAAGCATACACACAAACATCTCACATTCCTCATGAACAATCTACA